ACGATCAATGTCGCCTCTACTAATCTTGTCACAGGAACTAAGGTATGACTTCATAGGACTTAAAGTAAATGCCAAGGTGAAAGACTCCTTTAATTGTCTAGTACGTGATCTGATGGGACATTTAATGATATCGATCTAAAAGGACGTGGTGTGGGTTTTGGATTATTTAGGTGCGTGTCGTTTCGTGCCTTCCTTTAAGTTTATGGCAGAAAGACATAATCTAAAACGGTAAAATCTGCACTCATGCCAACTGGCCCACACGACACCCGTAGCACGAAGTATGGAGTAAGAAGGAGTATTGTCACCCCCACCCCCCCACCCCCGCTTAGACGTCAGTCCGTCGCATTTATACTCCTGGGTGGGGGAGAGGGACGCTGTCAGACAGAGAGTGGACTGTCTTGCCCAAGAACAACTCTCAACCCGGAGTTCAGCGTGTTCATTTTAGGCCCTAGCGTCTCCTACTCAGAAAGTCCTTTTTAGATGCAAGCGTTATGTTTTGATCGTATGACAGTGTCTTCACTAAGCATAAGTTCTGATAGCGTTTAATCGCATTTTTGATCTCCATATTGTTCACAACAGATCAGCATGTATGCAACTGGTTTAAACGATGAGACGCCGTTTACTTTTGCCAATGCTGTACCTGGTTTAAAGTTCTTCTGGACCTCGACTAACCCTGATGTTTGCCAAGTCAAGTCTGTATACGTTCTGGTGAGCAAAGCTTAACATTTGTAAAGAATATTGTAGTTAAAAAAAACAAAACAAAACAAAAATAAAAAACATGCCTTCTCGAAATTTACAGTTGATTTTAACTCCCCACCTCTTTCTGCTCCGTTTGGTATGAAATATTTTGCTTCCATCTAATGAAAGCAAAGTGATTAGTGAGGCTTTGCCTTTCAAAGAATTGATTTATTGTTCGTGTAGTCTGATCGTTTGGACTAAGATAGTCCTTAAGAAGACTGTTGTCGATCGCAGTGACTGACGTTTCAAAGATCTGAGCGGAAATCATCATTGGAGTTAAGTTTTCATGTGGCCACTACTTGTTTACATCTGTTTAGTTAAGTCTGTTCTAAGTATTCCGTCTTTTGTGTGTGCTGTTCGTTATGATTTCAGAGTGGGGTGGCCGTGGAAAGCGAGAATGATTTCCGTGTTGATCTGCACTGTGTTAACCCCGGACAAACGACTGTACGACTCAGGGTGGCGATAACTGACCACAGGTATCAACAGGCTCATGAGGACGCCCTGTTACAAGATGAGGTCACATTTGAGGTGAGGACAGCTCCTACGTTCCCCTTAAGGTATTTATAAAGCAAATGGTTTAAAAAAAGTAAAACTCCGGGAAAGAAGTGGTCTTTAAAATGCATCTGGGTTGGGCACAAGAAAACCATAACCATTAGAAAGTTTGACTTCGATGATGTCACAAAGAAATATTTCAACGTGGGTAAACGCGTGTGAGGAAGTCACGTGAGAGAGAGAGAGATTTATTTCGTCCTGTCACGAGTATTGGAAAGAGAAAAAAACTCTGAGTTCCCTGAGGAATCGAATCTTAGATCTTCGGATTTCCGCTTCCGGTGCTCAACCACTGAGCCTCAGAGACTCTTGTGAGCTAGGCCGTTACGAAGTCACGTGATATTGGCTACGCACGTGATTGGTTCAAAAGAGTACGTATGTCCAGACCAACACAAAACCTAGTAAGGTAAGGGAGAATACATCTTTTGTTGTTCGACTAGACGTTGATCCATATCCTCTACGAACAGAGTGTCTTATAAAGGATTAGGTACACTCTTTGTAACTTTCGTTTGAATTTCTCCTCTATATTACCGCAAATGTTTTACCCAGTTTACCCTGAAAGTTTAAATAGTGCATGGAAGTGGTATCTTTCAGGTTGCTTTTCGTCACTTAAGATTATTGTCTCGCACAGTCAAAGGAAAGTTCCTCTTCTTTATGCGCATGGTCACGTCTTCTGCTAGCGAAAACAAGTCCATAAAAAGTGTTCCCGATATTTTTAATCGTTTTTGTTTTTTATTTTATGTATTTTTTTCTCGATAGGTGTATGAAAGACTTCATTTGACCTTCCCTGCCGATGGCTTTTTACTTCTTCCTCACAATGTACACACCAAAATTAAGACAAACAGGTGTGTGCAGTGTAATGATTTTTCACAGTAACAAACTTGTGTCTTGACCGATTGCTCCGGGATGGACATAAAAATAGGAGGTAAAAATCTCTTGACTGATTTTTCCGGGATTAACATAAAAAAAGGAGAAAATAAAATAAGCTCCCCTTTTTTCTAACCTTCGACAATCGATTCTTTCTTGTTCGTTGACTTTGCCACTGCAAATGCGAGGCTGGAGGGGTCATTCTTAATAGAAATTATCAGATTGAGTAGTTACGTTTGATTATGTACCTCATCCCCTTTCAAATATCACTTCTCTTCCCGTGTAAGGTACTTAATCGTTAATTATTTTGCAGGGATGGTTCGGCAAGGATAACTTACGAGTTGATAACAGACTGTTCTAAGCACAACATGGCTTCTAGCGGTGGTGCTGTAGCCAGTATCGGTAGAAATGGTCAGGTGTCCACCACATCTCTGTCTGGGACAGCTGTGGTGTTGGTGACTGTCCATGAAGAGTTCGGCATCAATCAAACTACGGTGGTCCATGTGGAGGTAAGAGTACTGAAAACATAAACCAGAAGACTAAAAGCCCGCGACAACGCCAACAAAAGCTGGCGACAAGCCACTTCGTGTGTATTGCTCTGCGCCTTGTCAAGTTGCAGTAATAATGCGCCTCGTATGACACTGGGATTTTCCATCTGCCTCTACGACAAAATTCTGTTTCTCTAATCCGTCGCACGAATTCAGATTGCTATAAATTCATGCGATCAACTTTTTTACGGATATCTCTCGTGTCAGACGAGACAAACTGTTACTGCGACTTGTTCCCTCGACTTGTAACAGCGACTTGTTTAGTAAGCAGAACACGAGGAAGGTTCAATTTTTTGTAGGAACATGACGCTACAACATGTGAGCTGATACTTCTGAAACTGTGTTAGTCCGGACGAAGTGTACTTTCTGTGGAAATTTATTTACTCTGGCTAAACGTTTTATTCTCGATATTTTTCAGGTCAAGGCTGTTTCATCAATCATTATCAATTGTGAGTCTCCCGTGAGAGCAAACTCTGAGAAGCTGCATACATTTCCCTTGGGAATGAATGTGCTGTTCGCTGTGACATTACATGACAATATCGGGCGAAGATTTGCTGTTGCCAGTATTCCGCTCAAATACAGGCTTAACAGGTTGGATATAATATTTTATTGTATATGTTTTACTCAAGTGGAGTAGTATTTGGCGATCAAAGGCTTGACTCTGGAACTACCAAGATCGGTGTGGTATTTTTCAGTTTGTCCTTTCAAATTAGTTCAAAGAAATTAATTTAATTTCTGAGAACTGCCTCTAGTTGCAACGTTTGGATACGGCTCAGCTTCTTTCTTTATGACGATGTCATATTATGGGAAGGAGAATTATCGTGATAATTCGTAGATTATCAGCAGTCTCTACTTTACGCGCGATTGAAAAAACTTAGCGGGAAAAAAAAAACATTGATGTTAGCGCGCCGCGCAGACCTCTGGCAGCGAGGCGCTAAATTAAAAAACAATCACCGTCCCACCCAGTGCACCAACATCTATATAATTTTTTTTTCTTTAACTCGCGCGACGGACTTCGCCGAAAAGGGGACCCTGCTCATAATCTAGAGGGAAAGGGATAAGAGGCATTTATTCACAGCTTTTCACTAACGGTTATTATAGCGTCACATAAGGAATCTGCCAACCACTAACTTTTTGAAATGAGGCGCTTTGAAATGATACTAATGTAATACATAGCGCTTATGAAGTGTAGGTATTCTCTCTACTTTTTATAAAACAGAGTTGAAAAACAAGAAATGTAGCATCTATCTCAAAGCAACAGAAATCTTCCTATAATAAGATATTATTATTTACTAATTTGTTTTATAACATAACCAAAGTAAAGCGCGCGCTCTGATTGGTCAATTTAGCGTTCCCCATTTGCCCATGGGTGTACGCTGCTGACGTGAGCAAATGCAAAGACTATTTTTCCGCGCGCGCTTGTTTTT